TTAAGAATAAAGGTGATCAATAGACAAAATTGTTATTCCCTAATATTCATCTAATATTTGAATTTGAATTATATATTGTTTGCAATTTTATTATATTCTCAATTAGTTAAAAGTAGTTAGGAAAAATAATCACAACAATCATTATTATTTACTTATTTTTGTCAAATAGGAGTTAAAAATATTTGATTAAGTCTTCAAGTATGGTTTTCGTAGGAACGATATCCGGACTCAATGGTCCACTATACTGCTTGTTACGATATCATACACTTGCGGTATAAAAAACGCAACAAGTTTTTGGCGCCGTTGTCGGAGACTATTTACTAAAGTCTTAGTTTATTTTATTTTGAACTGTTATTTTATTTTATTTTAATTCCTTTTATAAAAAAAATAAAAAGAGTTCGTTGTATACTCCATACCTAAGGCGACGATCTTGAACCGTTTGACTCGAAAATAGAATGTACTTTCAGACGAAAACACAAGGAACACAAACAAAAACAGTAACATAAAATGTTTGACAATCAAAATATTCTTATTACTATTCAACCAAGTTGTACAAGTGGCCGCATGAGCAGTGACGCTGCCAAATCAGCAGCAGGAGTGAGGAGAAATAGACGAAGGAGACTTACCCATTTCAATGTTTTTGACGCCAATAGCTGCACCTACACGTTCCAGTATTGTGTATGCAGATTTCGGGATAGATAATTTTCAGATAAGGGCGGAGTTGATCAATTTGATGAATGACACTCTCCAATTCTATGGGTTATCTCATGAAAATCTGAACACACATATCTCCAGATTTCTTAAAAATTGTTAGAACGTCCATGCTCTGGGGGTTAATAAAGACGCTATTAAGTTGCGATTATTTTCATATATACTAAGAGATGTTGGATTGGAGTGGTTAGACGCCGAACCTCATGGAAGCATTACTACATGAGAATAACTGATCAGAAAATTTTGCAACAAATTCTTCCCACCGGCAAAAGTAGCTAAAATTAGATTGGAAATTCAAACTTTCCAATAGAAAGATGGAGATAGCTATCACGAGGCATGTAACAGATTCAAAGAGCTGATGCAAGAGTGTCCAAATCATAGAATCACAATAGGAAATCAAGTGCAGTACTTCTACACCGGACTCTTACCACGATTAAAATCTCAGGTGGATTCCTTTGCGGGCGGATCGATCATAGGAAAATTAGTACAACAAACTTTGGATTTATTTGAGTTAATTGCCACTGCACATTCAATATTTTCATCAGAAATAGTGGTACTACTGAGAGCATCTGGGATGTATGAATTATATAGCACA